ATCACACACTATTAATCAGTTGCCACCTCGATGAGCAACAGTCTCTGACCTAGCAGCATTAAAATCGTTGCTTCTTCAATGAAGTAGACGTGCTATGATTGGCATCCTTTAGCTACAAGCAATTTAGACTGACGCCTCGTTTATTATAAATTTATTTTCTAGCACGGAAGTTGCCTTTCTTGTGTAATAGAGAGAATAGATTGCTGAATATCTCAATGAAGTAGTGTTAAATATCAATTCCTCTCGTGCCTAATATTCTGAAGGCATTGGCTCGAATTCTTGCTTGCCGTGCAGTCGTTTGAGCAAGGGATTCACCCAGGTACAGCCCAATGTCTCTAATGGACTGTAGTCTCTCCAGGCCAGCGATTATTTACCTGAGGTTTGAGATTCCCTTTTCGGCGGTAAGAAACATGCCAGAGATTTGTCAAAAGTTTATCTTCGAAAATGAAAGTTTAGTAGATGCATGCTACTCTATTTCGTCAAACATATGTGTAGAATCTGCATAAATGTCTTTTTATATGGAATGGTGTCAGTGATGGACATCTGAGGGAAGGTTATCTCCTTTAATACGAGCCGACGGCCAAATCCGAAAGGAGTTTCAGAAACTGAATCTCTGATATTTCACTGATGAAGTAGCACCATTTCTACATCTGGTTAGATCTCCTTGTGCTGTTTGTGATTACACACTTCTGCGAGGTAGTAATTTAATAACTGTTGCACGGCCATAGCAGGGATCCGTTAAATCAAAGTTATTACATACGTGTGGTCGTATAAAGTAAATGTTTTGTTTCTCAGACGTCATTGAACATAAGTAACAGAAGAATCACTCTATCGGTAAACTAGAAAATCGTGTGTAGCTTTTGTTTGCAATATGTACAAAAATGACTGAATTTTTTCAAGCAGAGCGAGCAGTCACTGCTACAGTAATATTCTAGTAAAATTTTGATTTTCTATAGTCGTTCTCGTGAATAATTCAAAATAACCTATCATTGCTCACGCATGGGTCAAGTGATATACAGTAACCTATGTTTGTTTTACAAGAAAGTTTGCATTCTCTAGCATTAGTTCTTTTGTAATGGTATTTCGCTGAAAACACATAAAAGGTGGGCTCGATTGATAAATATGCCATCAATTGGTACAGGGAACACCAAATATTAAAAGATACTATTGTGTTAATGCTCAGCTTTCTCTGATGGACAAAAAATGAAACAAGGTAAAGGAATTTCTAATTTTCAGCCTGCTAATCAATTTTACCGAAAACCGAAACGCACCGGACTGGCTTGGCTACGCTTACGCTGTGCTGATGTTCGTGTCTGCGTTTCTGTACACTATTCTCGCACATCAGCATATGTTTTTGATGTCGAAACTCGGCATGGACGTCCGCTCAATACTCATAATGGCAGTTTATGAAAAGGTAACTGCTTTCTTTGAATTAGTCATTAAAAAAAATCAAACTTGCTATAATTTCTGATAAAGCATGAATGCTAGGTTGCATTCCAATGAAGCAGGATTAACTTAGGGCTCATCTTGTAAGGCACATTTGAACTTTCTGGAAAGTTCCACTCCTTTATACGCCTTATCCGCGAAGGAATGGCAGTAGGGTCCAGGTTTATCCACTCAATACCTACAACTACCTCCGATCAAACGACGGTGTTTTAACTCATTGTAAAGTAAATGACCCTCAGTGTGTATAAATCTCAACGTATCTTATTAAAGTGGTGCCAAACACTACTACATGCGATAACGCAGCACAATGACATGACGAGCCATTGAAATGCAGTGACATATGTTCGGCGAGGTGTGCAACCGTTAAGACCCTAACAGGATCTGTTAAGGAAGAACAATGCCATGCGCTTCGAAAATGCAGGATAAGGATTTGATCGACTCTGTTTCATAAAGTTTTTTACATTCCATTGATTACAATTGGTTTGTAAATAGCAATAAAATCTATAACTGAGAGTTTGTTGAGATCATCATCTTGAGCCATTTGCATAAGCAGAATGTTTCTAGATTGTGATGACTATCATATTAACAGCTTTTCGAATCTTTGCCATAAATCACCAGTAGTTGTATCGTAAAATGAAATGTTCCACTCCAAAAGGAGATCTGTGTCCCTCTTGTTCCTTCATGTTACATGCTAGCCTCCTGGTTAACAACTGCTCTGTTATGGTGCCCAGTACGAAGCTCATGGGCTGGACTAAGCTATTTATGCCCAGCCAGTCTATATATCAGGGCTAACCTCCTTTCCTTAATCCCCATATCTCTGGAGATCGACTCTGTCTGGAATAGAATGGAACCATTTCTTACATGGTCCTGCCATTTTAACCTCATTATATGTAGAACTACATGCTGTGTGCAATTCAACGATCATTCTTGCTCCTTCGCTATAACAACAGTTTCTACTCTATAGTCTATGATTACTCATACCAGAAATGATTTTTCAATATCATAATTCGGGACAAACGATTTGTACAGAGTATGAAACTTTAGCTGTCTTGGATGCCATGTTTAGTAGCTGATGGCTTTAGGATTAAGGTGTCATTTTTACAAAACTGCTTAATAATGTACATTCCAACGCACTTCCTTCTCCTGTGGGTCCCGCTTGTTGCGGCAAAGCATTGACGTTGAATTATGGATAGTACCGTTCTGAACGGATGTTCCAAAATGAAGTTTGTTACTATACGATAAACCAATTACATGCTCGCTTTTAAAAATTAAATTTTGCCACTGTCAGCTACTGATTTTTTATGACAGACAATTTGCATATTTTAGTCTCTCTGTTTGTCGAATCAAGCTCGCCGGACCATAACAGCTGGAGAGATGGTCAACTTGATGTCCGTCGATGTGCAGTTTTTCACTGATATATCCACCTACTTGTGTTTAATCTTCTCGGCACCTTTGCAGGTAATTTATTTGGCGGCTATCAGATCCTCAAACCCATTCCGTGTTCTCCAGATCAGCATTGCTTGTTTTTCAATGTCTCCAAAATCTGCCTAGAACTGATAACCGATGATACAAACTATCATATAAGTGTTTCTGAAATGTCCTAATGCCAGAGTGTATACTATCTCTCTTCAGGCAGTTCGGTGAAGCCAAAAATGTTTTTCGCTAAGTAGTACAGATTAGCTTAGCTGTTTCACAAAAAAAAACTTATTCCTTTTTTCTAATTTATCTACATATGTGTCCTTCTGTTTACATAATCATTTTTAAGCTGCGGGTTCTGTCAAGGAATTGAGCGGGGTCTCAGACTCTGTAACATTACCACGATTGACATCTCATTTGCATTACTGTTCCTCAACCTCTGACCATGGGGAGTGTCATGTTGTATGACTGAAATTGCAAGTAAGTTAGAAAAGAAGGTGGTTGCTTGGATAACACGATGAGCTAGATAGAGTGGCGTAATTCAGCAATATCATATGTGCATGGAAAGTAGAAGCAGTCATGAGCAATTAGCCATTCCTGGCTTTTGGGGATTAACCGACAAGCACCATATCGTTTCACCTGAACGCCCGCCTTTGATGGGGTCACCGAAATATTTCCCACCAAATTTATGTTTCTTAACTGTAAAATGCAATTAGTTTGTTTTTAGATCATTTTAGCAACATTTTTCCTATGGCAAATTCTTGGTCCGTCGGTTTTGGCTGGAATTGGAGTGGTGATTTTGCTCGTTCCGTTGAACTACTGTGCTTCGTCGTTGCAACGCCGCTATCAAGCCGCGCAAATGAAATTTAAGGACATGCGCATGAAAATTCTGAGTGAAATATTGAACGGCATTAAGGTAGTGAATGAGAGATTTCGAAATTAACGTTCATACCTGATTTCTATAGGTCATTAAACTGTATGCATGGGAACCCAGCTTCAATCAGCAGGTGGCGGACATCAGAGCAAAGGAGCTGAACGTTTTGAAGAAAAGCGCCTTCGTTGGCAGTTTTATTTCCCTCACTTGGACTACGGCACCAGTTTTGGTTAGCATATAATTTTGCCTGTGTAATCATTGGATCATTTGTTAAATTGCAGTGAAACGAGGAAAGTAACAAGATCACTGATGAAAAGAAGTACGAAACAATGTTTTTTAAAAATGACAAAAACTGATACAAAATCACAATGAGTTTAGCGTCCCTGCAATCGATTACTTCTGGCAATCCTTCTGCAGATATCCAGGCAAGAAGCATGCCCGGAAGATTTTCAGGTCTCTACCATTCACCTTCACAACAGTTTCATTTTCTTTCCATTTTTATGCACCCTCCACAGAATATCGTCTGATTAATGCACCTATCGCGTTTAAGGGTATTGCCTCTTGCCATTTTGAGGATTCCAACGTCAAATTGTCCTGTCGACATTGACTTGACCTTTTGCACTACAACAATGAATTTTAAAATTACACTCATGATAAAATAATGAGAGTTGGCTGATGAGAAGCTCCTTTCGGAGCTACTTCTTGAGAAACAGTGTTTCAGTTTGTCAGACTGTTTCCTTTTATGATCTTGCAGGGTGCTATCCTCTCGTTACGAAACGGGACTTCGAAAGCCTTCAATTTTTTTACACAGGCCATCAACTACTGAGAAGGCGTTAAGATGGGAAGCTCTCAAGAAATTCAAAGAATTCTGTAAAGCCTTTGTAAAAAGAAACGAATACTATGATACTGAAATTTATTTGTGAATATAGATAGCGTTGTTTATGCAAAAACTGCTTGATAGGCTGAACGAAATGCATATGTATTATTATGAACTCGAAAATTATTCTAGGAGTTGTCCCATGGCAAATGTGATTAGGTATGTCACGTGTACCCCTCAAGCTATAATCCACCGTTATTTAGCTATTTAATTTATTTAAACTTTTTCGCATTCGTCCAAAATTTGTACCCTTCGCTTCATCACGGTTGTTTGTCACTTTCTCCGAGGTAGCGGCCGACGTAGTTCTAGCCAAATTGTAATTCAGCTTGAGTTTGCATGACCACGCGTTTCTTCATAAAACTTACATTTCAATCTTGAGCAGTTATTTGACTTGCTGCATCAATGAAAGGAAATGATTGTCTTGTTCTACTCTTGATAGTAAAAATATCATATTGGTAAATAAATTGAGACGTAAACATATTTTGATTCTTCTGGTTCTCAGATTCCATGGTTAATCGTATGAAAAACAAAATGATATTTGCTTAGCAAAGATCCTACTTTTCGATAGATCAAGCATCGGCATCAGGCGATGTCATCCCCATTCAGTCGAAACGTTGAATATCCGTTGCATAAAAATTTTTTTCTTCATGCTGTTGGCCATTGAATCAGCAGATATATCTGCTTCAAACGAAAATTAGCTTCATTCATTCTTTAACCAGTACGCAAAGCAGTCGTCTTCAACATCGAATCAACGCTGCCCCAGCCTTGTGGATTCCCTCAAACTAATGTAGTGGCGGGGACTACCGGATCCGATGGTCAGCCTCGTCTGCACAGTGTCTCTCGGTGAGTCACGCCACGAGAAGACACAGGAGACCGTACGGAGTGTACGGGTTACATTCTGCGCAATGCACTCAGCATAGCATATTGATTTTCTGGCACTGGTTGATTCCCGTTATAAACGGAAACTTCTAATCACGTGACAATTTTGGACAAGCCAATCATCGTAAACCGGAAGACGCTAATCTACGATCGTCGGAAGTCCTTGAATCAGCCTACAGTACCCAGACTGTTGCAAAAGTCAATC